CAAAGAGTCAGACACAACTGAGTGACTAAACTGAACCGAGTCAAACTTCCAGAAAAAGAATTCAGAATAATGATAGTGAACGTGATTCAGGATCTCAGAAAAACAATGGAGGCAAAGATTGAGAAGATACAAGAAATGTTTTCCAAAGATCTATAAGAACTAAAGAAGAAACAGAGATGAATGCTACACTAGAAGGAATCCATAGGAGAATAACCAAGGGAGAAGCACAGATAAATTCCCTGGGAGACAGAATGGTGAAAAGAATTGAAGAAAAAAGAATGAAAAGAAATGAAGACAGCCTAAGAGACCTCTGGGACAGCAATAAACGCATGAATGTTTGCATTATAGGGGTCCCAGAAGGGAGAAGAGAGAAAGGGCCTGAGAAAACATTTGAAGAGATAGCTGAAAACTTCAGTAAAATGGGAAAGGAAATAATCAACCAAGTCCAGGAAGCAGAGTCCCAGGCAGGATAAACCCAAGGAGGAATATACCAAGACACATAGTAATCAAACTGATAAAAATTAAAGACACAGATAAAATATTAAAAGCAACAAGGGAAAAATGACAAATAACATACAAGGGAACTCTCATCAGGCTATCAGCTGATTTCTCAACAGAAACTCTATAAGCCAGAAGGGAATAGCATGACATATTTAAAGTGATGAAAGAGAAAAACCTATAACCAAGAATACTCAACCCAGGAAGACTCTCCTTCAGATTTGATGGTGAAATCAAAAGCTTTCCAGACAAGCAAAAGTTAAAAGAAATCAGCACCACCAAACCGGCTTTACAATAAATGCTAAAGGAACTTCTCTAGGCAGAAAAGAAGAGAAGGAAAAGCTCTACCTACAGAAAATAAACCCAAAACAGTTAAGAAAACAGTAATAGGATCACACATATTGATAATTACCTTAAATGCAAATAGATTAGATGCACCAATCAAAAGACATAGACTGGCTGAGGAAATGAAAATGTGTGCATCTATGCACCTCCACTTACAACAGCACTCTGCTTGACCCCTCAAATTGTATGTAACTATTTTGTTTTGTTAGGCTAATCATGTTTCCATTATGGCTTGCAATTGTAGTTATATTTTTTGTCTGGATATTGATTATGAAAACTGATACACATCTTTTACTATTAGATGTTTTAATGTTACATTATAATATTAAGATTAAAATATATCAAATAAGAAAGATGTATTATATCTACAATACATTGATTAGCCACTGAACACTATTCTTAGACCTTTTCCCAGGTAGGTCTGGTAGAGGAGATGGGAGAGGCAGGAAATACTATGATCAAGTGAGTCACAAAATCCTAATAAAAGCAGCAGCTTTAAAACATTCTTGGCCATGATCCACAGTAAAAATATATATTTTACACTGTGAATCTAAAGAACACGTGCAAACTAAAATAATATTTTACAGATCAATTACCTTTACTCTGTGCAATTCACTTTGATATGTTCTACTCTGTCCTATTCTGGTCTCCCCCTTTTTTTTTAATACCAGTCATGACTCTCTCAATGGATTCTGAAAGTAAGAAGGGGAGGAGAATAACAGGAAGGCCTAGGGATGGAGGGTATCCCACAAATATCCCACAAGGAATAATTGACAATGTCTGGAGATACTTTGGGTTGTCACATTTGGGTATGGGACTGCTACTAGCCTCACTGGCACTTTTTACAAAAATAAGAAAAAAAGCTAAGGATGAAACATCAAGATACAACACAATTTAATCTTTCCTATATTATTCCAGTTTCTCAACAGCTACAACTTCTCTTCATATTGGAGGTAATATCAAATGGAAAAGGGTTATTTTATTTAGATTTATTCCTCCAAAGCTGAATTAAATTATGACTGCCCACTGGAAGAACATATTGGCAGAAATCATACTCTGAAACAAATTATTAGGTAGATGAGAAAGACTATCTAAAAGTGTTTTACTAGTTCAAGTTAGGAGAGAATAGTGATATGAATTAGTATAGTTTCTTCTCATGCTTAAGCAGTATTACATAGGATTTTGATTTAACTACTACATAACTTTTTATTTATGTGAGATATTTATAAGTGTATACTTCAAAATCCTGAAACAAAGCATAAGCCCTTAGAAGAATATTACATATAAAAAGCTTTCAAGAACTGGACTGGTGCATTTGTTTTGCTTTTTCCATCTTTATGTGGTAAAAGTACAGGCACTGAGTTAGCAAAAAATATAAGTAAATAACAGAATCTAAACCAAATTACTATAGATAACAAAACTATATTTTTCTTAGGTATTGTGATCCATTCAGGCAAATATGGAATGTGACCAAACTAATGGTAATTAAATATACCTAAGGAAGTAATATATTTTCTGGGAAATAAATTTTCTATATGATCTATGATAAAATTAAGATCTACAACTTCTCTTTATAGACTTTCATATTTTAATAAACAATTTTCCTATCACTTATCACTTAAATGCAACTTCTATGAAATAAGGCTCTAACTTGATTTTTTTCACTGTATATTCACTTTCCCCAAGCGATAACTTATATCTTCCCCTTCAGTTTGTAATGCTTTCTGCACCTCTCATTTGTTTTAATATGCCAATCCTGGCATAATGATTATTTTGAGCTGAAAGTAATTGAGAAGAAGCAGATAAAAGGAAAGCTCCCTGTCCTCCCCACATTTGCCTAAAAGCAGGACATAAATTTGTAAAGCTGTTCCCCTATGCCCTCTATACCAGAAAGGACAATATTTAATTATTCTGTATCAGCCCAGAGATGGCTCCAGAAGAATATGCATAACAAAGTTTACTAGCTAGGCCTTATCTTCCACTGGATTCCACCTCCAAATTTACCTTCCCACAATTGGCAGCTCTAGAAACTCAAGAAGTCTCTTGCCTTTCTCTGTCATCTCTCTAAAAACTGTATTATTCTTTGTTAAGATGCTATATGAACCTAAATTCTAAATGCTTCTTTGAGTTTCTTATAGCTGAGTGTGCATATGTATGCAAAATGCACATGATGATTAATAAACTTGCTTTTCTCTTATTAATTTTTTATCAGCCTAATTTACACAAGAAACTAAGACACACAGAAGGAAACATAAACAGCTGTTTTTTTCTCCTCTACAACTTTCAGATTAACTTTAGAAATAGGATACTCCAAGCAACCAACTGGGTTATGACTAGAATGTTACTACCCTCAACAACTGTTTGGAAAGAACATGCATCTTTATAGTATTTAGACTTCCCAGTAAGGAACATAAAATGAATCTCTACTCATATCTTCCTTTATGGTGCTCAGTGAAGTTGAATAGGTTTCTTCATGTAGGCCTCCCACATTTCTTATTAGTTATTTTAAAATCACATTTTCTGTTTTTAGATCAGATTGGAAACCATCTTTCATTTATATTTCTAAATAACTATTTTAAGTAATTATGTTAAGCAATTTAAGCAATTATTTTACCATCTAAATGGCTCGGATGGTAAAGAATCTGCCTGCAAAGCAGGAGACCTGGGTTCGATTCCTGGGTCAGGAAGATAACCTGCAGAAGGGAATGGCAACCCACTTCTGTAGTCTTGCCTGGAAAATTCCATGGACAAAGTAACCTGGAGGGCTACAAGTCCATGGAAACACAAAGAGTCGGACATGACTAACTAACACTTTCTTTCACTTTCTTTAAAATAAAGTTCAAAAAGATTAAAAAGTCGAAGTTTAAAAAAATGAAATAGTAAAAACACAAGGAGTATACAGTTAAATGCTCAACTGATTCGGCAATGAATAAGGAATCTCTAGGGATAAAGGATTGAAAAAAATCATGAAATATGCAAAGAGTGAGCTATACTAAACTCAGTATTTCCAAATCATAAAAGAAAATTACCAGCTCAACATCAAAATGGGAAATAAATTTGGAATAGATGACAGCTAAATGAGTAAAATTCTAACCATTTAAAAATATCTCATGAATCAATAAGAGCAAAACCAATTAACACCCAATAGGATCTCGGGCATAAGAAATAAAAGGAAAGAACAGACAATTCATAGAACAATATAGCAAACACCAATAAACACACAAAACAGTCATCTTCACAATCAAAGTAAGATGACAAAAAGTTAGTATTTTTTGTGGTCTATTCAAATAGCAAAAATTTGGTGCATCAGGACTGAAAACTCAAGCACGTCTGACAGGAGAACAGACTGTTATAATCTTTCTGGAGAGCATGCTGGCAATCTGAATTAAAAGCTTAAAAGATTCAAAGCACAAATAGGTATTTGTGAAATATTCAGAAAACAGGCAAAAAATAATGTATAAAGACAGCAATTATAATATCATTCACACTAGCAATTGGAAGCAACTGCAATGACCCCAAGTAGATAAATAGTTTGTGGTACATCCTTATGATAGAACACTAATGCAGTCATTTCAAACATTTCTGAAGAACATCTGAAGGCTTAGAACAAAGTTAATGATATGATATCAATTGAAAAAATCAGAACACAAAATTATATAGTATGATACCAATTTTGTAAATATGCAAAATATATATGAACTGGAAAAGGGAATACAACAAAATGTTAGCAATAGCTATATTTGGCAGAAAGGACTAAGGATAGCTTGTATTTAATTCTTTATACTGAGCAATTTTTCAGATGTTTTCTGTAATAAACATACTATTCCTTTCAAAAGGAAACACAAAAGATGTTATTTTTACAACTATAGCTAACAGGCATTTTTAAATTTGCCATCAAGTGATGCAAGAACATTTTCAGAAACAAAAACTAATTTTAAAAAATCAATAGACTTTTCTTGTATGAAAATTAATTACCAAAGATATTCACTTTTTATAAAATGAAAATTCACTTCAAATTTTCTTCACATAATGAGCATCATTAAAGAACTTAAAAAACAAAGATTGTAATACCTACTAAACGTCTACTCAGAAATACAGCCTAAAAGAAAAACTCTTATCAATTACAGGCAAATGCATGATTAGAATATAGTGCTTACCTTTTTCACTTACACTCTCACTTTCAATCTCAACATCATCGCAACTCGTATATTCAGGTGTAGAAGCTAATTCCTCCTCTGAACTGCTCAATGAAACCTGGCGCATTTTACCTCCTTTCTTTGATTTATGAGGCTTTGGTGGTGGAGGTCTCACTGACTCTGACTGGTCAGAACTGAGAGAATCATTCCTTAACATTGTTTCCATTTTCTCCCGTTTCGTTTTTCTTACAGCAGAACTAGGATCTAAGTGGTGTTGTTTCCTTAGTGAGTCAGTACGTCTCACGTCTGGTCTATCAATGGGTATTGGACTCCTCCGGGGGGTAGGAGGACTATGGTTTGTGGTCCTTTGCGGATAAGAACTTGGTCCCTGAGCCTCTCGAGTTCTTTCCATTGAATAAGATCGCTGATTTTCCATGGCAGCTCTACGTTCAGATATAGATCTTTGCCTTGATGGTCGTTCCATCCTTAGCATAGAAATCCTGGAGTCTTCCAGTTCAGCATTTGCCAAAGAAACATCACTGTGCCTTCTCTCATGCCTGGCGCGTGACACTTCAGCATGGATACGCATTTGTTCTTCATAGGGCTGTGGCTTGACTGGATAACGGGCCAAGTTCGGATCACTTCGATAGCGTGCCTGGTATTCCTCCTCTCTCCTCTGTCTTTCATATTCATCTCTGCTCTCCACATCCTCATCATCTACAATATATTCTTTGGAATGTCTATGACTTCTCCTGTTGGAGTCCCTATAATTTATATGATCAGACTCTTCATAAAACTGAGGTTCACGTTGAGACCTCCTATCAGCATAATCTGATGGAGATCTAGGCATTGCGCTGTCCGAAGTAGCATACTGTGAATATTCTTCTCTTTCTTCCCTTTGGTCGTATCTTCTATTCTGATCTCTGGACACTGATGGACTTCTTTTCCTAAATAACCAAAAAAAAAAATGATAAAAAGAGCAGAATGTAAGCAATTTCACATTTTACTGATTCACTGGAAGGCTGGATGGATAAATTCAAATAGTTCTTTTGCTTCTTTTTTTTTTTTTAATTTTGAAGTCATGCCATAACAAAAGTTTTGCTGATACTCATTTTATTCAGTTCAAATAGGAAATTTAAAAGGTACTTTTAATATACTTCTTCAATGACGTACCCCCTGTGGAATATACATATGCCCCCAAATCAAATAATCAACATTTCATCCTGCTGTTGCAAAATAGCCTTTATTCTAACTTTTTGCTTGGCTCAATACCCTTACGCTATCTCCTCTCGCTATATCCTGTTATTCAGAAGCTTAGAAAAATTTCACCTTTCTTTCTCTCTATTCCTGATACTTTGATTTCATAGTTACTTGAAAACATGATGAAGCTAAACTGATTGATCTCTAGTTGTTTGGTCAATAGTTTAGTCAACATTTTTTTACTAAAATGTTGGCTCTTAAAAGTCATTTTTCACTCATTATCTACCTAGACCATGCTAGTACTGGTTCATCTAAATTTTCATTTTATCATTATATTTCCAACCCTTTACTGCCCTAACTTGAGATAAGCAATGTAAATAAATACCAACTATGATAATTTATTCATTTCAAAAAGAAATCAGAAAGATTTGCTACATTTATTCCATCTTCATTAAATTAAGGCTGGCTCCATGACACTTCTGTCTTCATAGCTGACCTGTATCTAATATGTCCTTACAGCCTCAGAGAAACAGTTGTTCATTAAGTTTTCAACCTGCCCCTCTAATGCCATTCAAGCTGGTAGACCTTGCAATCACACAAATAACTCTTTGTCAACAAAATGTTCATACTGTTCTCTTCTCTGGCACAAACTCAAATAATGGCAATCACCTGACATGAGAAGCAATGGAATGGGAATCATGAAGATGTCAGAAAAGGTTTAGAATAACTGTTACAGAGATTTTGCCAGGACACATGAAAGGGTGGGGTCAGTTGAAGTTAAAGACGACAAAGATTAGAGAGCTCAGTTGAGAATTTCTTAGACAATATTTTTTGATCCAAAAAAAAGAGCAGAGAAAGGATACATGTGGAATGACCCAACACAACAAAATTATCATCCTCCTCTAAAAATCTCTTTTCTATCACCAACCCCCCATATCAGGAATGCAGTCTGTCAATGAATCAGTTAAGAGTCTGTTAATAAAAACAAAAGTCACTCCAGGTTTTCCAGAGGGTCAGGGTTTCAATACAGAAATCAAAACTATACAATTGCTGATCCTGCTAAGTAATGAAGGTCAGAGACTTTAATGTTGCTCTCAGCCTGGAGAGCCAAGGACAGGGTTTTCAAAACAGCCTTTAGGAAACTTCGATGAATTCCAAAAGTCTCGGGGAATTTGCCACCAATTATCTCAGCTGATTAGCATATTAGGGTGGTCAACTAACAGAAGCTTAATCCAGGAGCCACTAAAACTTTCACATCTGGCCATCTGCCTGCCAGCAAATCTGCTTGGCAATAATGGTTTCTATCATCTCATCTACCTTTCAAACCTCATACATGTGCATTGCTAGGGCTGACTCTAACCTAGAACCATAAAGGGAAAAGTACTACAGTACATGAAGGAGCTAGCCTGTTCCCTCAAATGTTTTATGGTTAAGCAGGTATATGTACTTAAAAAAAAACACACACACACTTACATATTTACATATAAAACATTTAGGACTTAACCACAAATCTTTTAGGTTTGTGATTCACATAACACCAGACTCCAACAATTTAAAATATACAATCAAAACAGAGCACTCAAATTATACAGCATTAACTTATATAATATCCTATTTATGTGTCTATTATGCATAATTCATTTTACTTTTTGTCATTATTTTTATACATATGAATAAAGAAAAAATATTTTAGTATGGGAGCAATGTAACCTGAAAAGAACACTGGAGTTAAGGGATCTGGGTTTCTTAGTCCTACTTCAACTATTAACCAGTTACTCAAAACTTTACAGACATTTAATCTTTGAGCATGTACTTTAAAGTGAGAGATACAGATTATACACATTAACTCAAATATTATTTTAACAAGTATGTATTAGATAAAAACTTAATGCCATGTACTATAATATAAATTAGGAATAAAGAAATGATTAAGAGATGACCCTTTGTTACAAGAAGCTGAGTGATTCTAAAATCCTCTTCCATTTCTTAGAGATTATGATCTTATAATATCAGTACCACAACTTCATCAAGTTAATATGCCTAAATGAAAGTTTAAAGCATTGCAAAAAATAGTAGTCTTATCAAGATGTAATTAACTTACTAGTGCCAATTTTTAAAATATTCACATCTCATTATCTAGCTACTTATCTACTTACTACACTACAAATATATATACTAAGATAAATGAAAATTTCTCTAGGGAACTCTAAAGAATAAGGAATTAAATAAGCTCTTTCTCAAACTGACCATCTAACCTCCATTAAATGCAGACTTTATGGAATTCAAATACATTTCAGTGTTTAAATGACAAATTGCTCTAACCTAAGTTAATAATCTGTCTCTAAATATAAGAAAAGAATTTTTAAAGTCTCATTTAAAGATTGCTTAACTGTTTTAATTTTCTTTTTTTTTGTTGTTTTTTTTCATTTATTTTATTAGTTGGAGGTTAATTACTTTACAATATTGTAGTGGTTTTTGCCATACATTGACATGAATCAGCCATGGATTTACATGTGTTCCCCATCCTGAATCCCCCTCCCTTGTTTTAATTTTCTTAAAACTAAGTGTGTACTGAATAGAAATTTGTGTTTCCCCAGCACAAAATACTATTAATTCCATTCATAATTACTTAATTAGCATTCAGTACTGACTATATTTCCCCAGCATAACACTACTCATTCTACTTTAAATTACCTAATTTTAAGTACTGTCCACTAAACCTTAAATTTTAACACACTTTTATATCTCCAGTATTTGTTCAATCACTCAATAAATATTTATTTAGTGCTGACTATGGTCCAGTTATGATGCTGGTTGCTGGAAATACAACAGAGAAAAGGCACATAATGTCTCTGCCCTCAAGTTCTTCCTAGTGGGGAAGACAGTAAGCACATAAACAAATCAAGCTAAATTCATATAGTAAGAAGACCTATGGAAGAAAATTGGAACCAGGTAAAATTACAAAAGTGACTGAGTGAAGCTTTCAAGAAAGAAGGTCTTTCTAAAAAAGTACATTTGAACTAAGACCTGAATAACATAGTTACACTATGTATTCATGTAAAACATAGAGCTTTGCTGGAAATGTCTTGGGTATTCTCATTTAGTGCTATTCTTTCCCATTTTTTTTTACTCAAAGCTGTTTTATGAAATATAAATGTACTGAATTCTTCGCTGTTATTTTATTAAATCAAGATTTTCCAGGATAGTTCATCTCTAGCATCCATCTAAAATCAGACCACTAGGCCTTTTTCACATGCTCCTCCCTTTCAAAAAATTTCAGTCTTCCAAACTGAGTAAATTGGAATTTACCATACTTGGTAAATACCTCATTATATTTTGTCTCATCTCAGTTGAAAGTCAAAAGAAAAACAAGCAGACTAAATCAGAATGAATGGATATTGGTTTTACAATATTATCAAAATACTTTCATGCCTAAGATTACTAATACAAATTAATCTCTCAAATGTGGAATTTAAGACTACAAGTAAATGAAGTAAAAAGTTGCAGAAAATGTTCACAAAATAGGATATTCTGAAGGAAAATAAACTTAGTGATGGTCTTTATCCTCACTGCACTTCTCTAGGTAATCTTACACATTTCTATCCAGAAATACCTATAATACTGCTTAAATGTTAAATTTCAAGAAGACAGGCACCCTGGATCTAAGGAAGGTGGCACATAATAGGTGCTCAATCTGCTGAATGAAGAACTGATTGAATAATTCTCCCTCAGGTTATCTCTGCTTTTCATGGCTTGCTCTCTTCTTTAATTGATATGCTAAAACAGTCTAGTTCTTCTCTTTCCCCTACTACTCCCAAGGCAGTAATTATATATTAATTACTATGTGTTAATTTGGCTTTTGTTATTGGACTTCAGACTATTGCCTATAAAATGACTTCTGTGGCAAAAATGTATTTTGAGTGCCAATCCCTTTAGAATTAAACATTTAGAACAAGATCTCTTTGGAAATGAGGGATTTCCTGGTAATATATTTAACATCATTATGGTTATTATGGGACAGAGACAGGAAGGAAAAAGGAATACTCTATTTCCTTGAGGAGTTAACTTAAATTCCTGAAAGTAAGAAGGGTATAAAGTGAATATAGTGAAACTTTATAATCCAGGAAATATATATTCTGTTGTGTTGATAAATAAGCATACGTATTCATTACAGAATTCAATTCTAAAAGAAAGTATATTATTAATTAGACCTTAGCCAGCTATTTAAGTGCGTTTTAAAAATCATACCTTAGGAAAACTGAATTCAATATTAAAGCCAACAATTACTTTGTTCTAGAGATTATGAAATTTGCCTGAAGCATGTGAATCACACTGTGGATGTTGATTTTCATACTATTTGAGTAAAACTTGAACACTGGTCATGATTTCTGAAATTGGGATGACTATTGTCACAGTTACTTAACATGAAATTGGATTTTTAAAAATATGCTTTGAGGTAGAGCACCTGAGAGTATATTAAAGCCATGCTAGAAAGCAAGGCAAGATACTTTAAGAATATTCTTACCAAACAATGAATCTGCTGTCAGATATTGCAAAATATTCAAATACTCTGTCAAAACAATTTTTACCAATTATATCATTAGAATTACTTCCTATATACTTTCTTTAAATTAAAATTGCTATATTTCTCAGACACTATATGTTTTTAAGGAACTGAAGAAAATCTATGAAAATGTAACTACTGTACCTCTAAACTGCCTTCACTACTGGCCTTTGTAAGCAGGCC